ATAAATCCTTTTATATTCCTTTTTGAAGGCTTTAAACGCCTAAAATATAGGAATGCATTAGTCTCGCATTAAAATAAATGAATAAAGTTGAACAAAATCCAGATTTTATTTAAAATAATAAAAGATTTTCATATTACATTCTTGCTTTGTAAACAATAGGACATTCGGTAACTTTAATTCGATTCTGAATAACGTTTGTGGCTTTTGTCAATTTCGGAGTAACGTCAATTCGGCTCGGTTTCGAATACGACAGTTTGACGTTCGATTCGGTTATTGTGAAAAAAAAATGAAAAGAAATCGTACGAAATCTAATCGAATCGGTCGACAACAGAGTTATCGTAAGGTTCAGAATCGATATGCAGCAGGTCGCCACGGGCTAACACAAGCGCGCTCGGGCGGCCCTCTTGCCACGGCGCGTTTTCGAAATGGACCAGTGGCCATGGGTAGCAGCCTTTAGTGTAATAAGGCCACACTTGCAAAATGACAACTTTTCAGGAGAGAGGTGTAAACATTTTACGAGCGAAATTACTCGTCAACTTTTTATGCTTAAATAGGAGAGGTATAACATTTCTAATATACGTAATTTGTTTCATGAAGTTCGTGTTCTTAAAAGCACTTCTGACGTATGATTACTAATTATTGTCTATTCACTCTCGCCTTGAAAAACCCCAAGTTATATCTACCGTTCAGGAAACATCATCACTTCTCAGTTTTCTAAAGTGATTAATGGTTAACGGTGTTGGTGACACAATAATTACATATGTACTAATTATTAATACAAAGATCCGATCGGATCCGGTCGGATCCGACCGGATCGAAGGAATTTTTTCTGAGTGTTCGATCTTTGTATTAATAATTATAACAAACTAGTGGAGTAATTTCACAAAAAATAATTGAATATCTATTCAATAAAAATTTAATTAATACATATGTACTGTAAAAAAAATTAAAGCTGCATTAAAAATAAATCTCAGTTTCATCTTTCGCTAGCCAGACTATAGTCTGTAGAAGACACAATTAAAACTTATACATATACATATAAATTCTAATTGTTACATGTACATATAAGTTTTAATTGTGTCTAATTGTTTGTTGACCCAAATGTGACCCAAATGAATTTAAAAAAACAAGCCTGCAGCAGACATGAGCAAGCGCCCGGGTTTTAACTCGGCGCTTTGTAGGTTTATCCATGACATGCTCGCATTGATAAACCTACACATTCAATGAAGTTTGACAAACCCCAGGTCCTTGCAAAAGAAGTCCGTTATCTACCCAGGATGCTGCGAGAGGCCATTGAAATTAAAAAACATCCTAATTTCAACAGGGAAGATGGTTTCTCCGTACCACCAGTTTGGGATCCAGTATTTCCTCTAATGAAAAATCCCAAACAGACATAAGACTGCAGTACTAATTAATATGTTTTAGTTTATTCTAATTTCTATTAATAATTAATAATAAATTAAACTTAATAAAAATTCATTCAATAAAATAATTTGTAAAACTTAATGTAGCGTAAATTGGAATGTTTTCTTTGTAAAATTAAAAATAAGGTATTTAATTAATAACTATTGTAAATATAGTGAAAGAATAGGTTAGTTTGCATCAATATTAGACATAACTGGTTGAAGACTGTACCACCTCAGTCAACCGTGACCATGGGACCTATAAAGGGCCCGAAATGTCGGTTTGTTTGAAAAAACAAATATACGCGATTTAAATCCGGAATAGTACATTATGATACAAGTGTGCTAAGTTGGTCATTACACACGAGGCGTTATTACTCGATAAGAAAGCCGAGAGTGTAATGATCAAAGCACACGTGTTTCATACGACGTTTTTCAACACATTTGCGAGGAAAATGAAACAAACTTGAGTAAAATGGAAATGAAAAATAGCTTTATTTGGCATTAATTAAAAGTTTCATATGCAGCCATGTATTTTTCTCTGGATTTCGAAGGTAATAAACTGTCACTTGCGTTTTGTGCCTCTGTGAGGATTTCGGGCGGTGTTAAATCCATCAAAATGTTTTCTTCCGTGCTTGAGCAGGACATTTTAAACACCTAGGTAATTATCTAACACACAGCGTATATAAATGTTTCGAACGTATCAATGGAAATTGGCGCGCAGAGTTATTTTTTCTGCGCCTGGCGCCGCGGCGCGGATATGCGCGCGCAGGTGCTTCGGCAATAATGAGACTTAGGTGAAATTCCTAAACAGCCAATGCGAAATAATATAAATATGTCCTTATTTCACTCAAATTCGTGTAAAATATTATCCAAAATAAGTAATTTTATTCAATTAAAGTTTTATAGGTGTATATTGTGTATGTTTTTCTATATTTATCACATCAAATAAGAAATATAAATTTATTAATAAAAATATTATTTGTAAGGTAAGACTACACAACCGTATTAAACAGAAATAAAAAAAAAACTGTGACCCTGTTTGTTTGGGATTACTGTCATTGTAATTTGAATCTTATAATATGTAGGTTAGAGCTGTTTTTTTAATAGACCAAGTTAATTTCAAAGACATAACCCGGATAATTTAAGAATGCATAGTTTTAATACATAGGCCTTGTTGTGAGATACATCTTAATCCGGTTAAGCCTATACTTATTACACACACGTTTTGTAATATAATTACAAACGCGTGTTCAATAGCTAGGTTTATGAGCCTAAAAGCGATACAATAAGAAGCCCGTTACGAGCAAATGTGTTGAAAAAATAGTTTCATTTCCTATGTGTAACAATCGCGAAAACCTAAGAACTCGATATGAATTAAAATGAATTTATCATGGACCTAAGGTCAATGGAATTTGTACAAAAACTCGTTATCGTAAACTGGTTTAGCAGTATCAACATCGGTAAGCTCACGTATTCTGCAGACTGTGTATGCAGCGGAGCTTAGTCTGGTGGCCAAGGACGATATATCATTTGGAATACACTATTCCGACCAATGTGATAAGTGATACCTAACGAAAGTCATCTTCAAACAGTTATATATTATGTATTTAAATACGTTATAACTTAGGAAATGAAACTATTTTTAACCGACTTCAAAAAAGGTGGAGGTTCTCAATTCAACTGTATGTTCTTTTTTTTTGTATGTATGTTACGCGATAACTTCGGTATTTGTGAACCGATTTTCATGATTCTTTTTTTTGTTGGAAAGGGGGTACTTTCATAGTGGTCCCATTTCATTTTTAAGAAAATCATCCACCTCGAAGGGTGGCTGTTCACGCATTAAGATTCATTTTTATAAATAACGCCTAACTTTAATTTAGGAGCAATTACTTTAATGATTGATTTTGCTATTTCTCCAATTCAAGTCGTAGTGAGAACCTATTTTTATTATCTCCAGTGTCAAGTCCTGTATAGTGGCGAACTAGGGGATATTGCAATAAAACTTAGCAAATAGACGTAATTCCACGTACTTTTGAGGTAGGTTTTTTTAGTACTCTTTCCGGATTTAATCGCGTATATTTGTTTTTTCAAACATACCGACGTTTCGGGCCCTTTACAGGTCCCATGGTCACGGTTGACTCAACCGTGAAAAGCCGTTTGACTCAACCCGAAACCGACGTCGAACAAACAAACCGAAACGTCGGTTTGTTTGAAAAAAGAAATGTACGCGATTTAAATCCGGAAAAATATTTTCATTTCCTATGTGTAACAATCGCGAAAACCTAAGAACTCGATACGTTATAACGTATTTATAATTAAATTTTTTTTCCGTTCATTTATAAAATAAAAATGAGACATATTTATATAACATCCGTACAAACACTGATTTACAATTTCTTCCTGTGGATAAGCTAGTAAAGAATTACTTTAAAGATATCCTTATAAACTTCTTAAGGAAACCTCAAGGGTTTTCCATGATTAACAACCGTTCCAAACTTCCACGATTTATCATTAAATAAAGCAGGAAATAGTGACTGTACCGATAATATTAAATTTAATTTTCCTTTATGCAAATACCTGCTTTTGCATGCTTTAAGGTGACTTGTGTGTTATAGAATGTTAGGTATCTTGAATCGTCAAGGAAAACGTAACCTTAAAATTTTTAGAACTAAGCACGGGTCGGTTAGGACCAAAATAAAAACACCTACCGGGTAGAGATGCGGTAAAGCGATTAGTAGGTACTTATTGGATTGAAAGCAAACCGCTATGACCATACAAAGAAACTGGTTTCAATAGTTATGATTATCTATTAAGTCACAGTTGTTTTCATACAACTCTAAAGTTACGCAATAACTGTACTGTGAGCGACTGTAGCCAGGAACTTATTTTTTTCTTCTAAATATAAAAAAAATATCGTTTTTATTAACCGATTTCAAGAACAGGAGTAGATTGTCAATTTGACTGCTAAGCAATTACCTACTGCGATATTTGTGAACCGATTTCGATGATTCTTTTTTTTTTGGTAATGGGGTATCTCAATAGTATTCAAATTTAATGAAAACATTCCATCTCTAAGGGTGGCCAATTAGGGGATGAATCTGGTTTATTGGATTTCACCCACTTTTCATTAAACGATTACAATAAAAAAATTAAAATTTATTTATTTGACAACAGAATTGTGCAGGTAGATATACAAAAGAAATGAAATTACAATACTATAGACACAACTTGTTGTAGCGTATATCGCGTACAGAGAATTGCGTCTTGCGAATTCCGTCACTAGGCTAAGCGTGTCTCGCAGGCAATCAATGTTTCCTGATTACAAGTTAGAAGTTAACAATTAGCGCAATAGGAACAGATTACCAACGAAGTTTTATTACTAAATTATTAGGATTAATATTAGCAAATCAAAAATACTAACAAATAAAACTTGGCAAATAGATGTAATTCTACAAACTTATGAGGTCCGTTTTTTTATATAAAAATGTTAATTTGAAAGTATAATGACCTTTAAAAATGAGGCTTAATATTTTTGAAATGTTTTCCTTATTCCAAAAGTTTCTTAGCTTGACTTGCAATAACACATTAACTCACCCAAAGTGATCCTAGGCGGCGAAGCATCAGCATGTAGCCAGAATGAGACCCAGGACATAGCCACTATCATCATTGACGGAATGAAATAGTCCATTAGGTAGTAGCCGACCTCACGACCTAGCTTGAACGTGAACTTAAGAGCGCTGTAGTTACCAGCTGGAAAATAAAAGACCGGTTAGTAAAAGGGAGAGATAAAAAAAAAACAGACAAAACAAACACAATGGATGACTAGGTATGTCAGTGTGTGTGTATTGTAAAAAGAATGAGAATGAGTGTGTAGGTACGATTACGTCAAAATTATCTACGATCTGTCATTTGTGAAGACAGAGTAAAATGACATTTGCACGGCTGCCTAGTTGATGTCGACAGTTTTATTGATAGATTGTGTAAGAGGTAAAATTTAGCCAAAAATGTCTGAAATGTGGCTGTTATGACATTCTAATGGTAACTAATTGCGTTATTGCTTTCTTTATTCTTACTTTGACAGTTGCACTACTAGCATCGAAATCAGTTTTTATTTATATAAATTTTAATAAGAACAGACGAATGTAATTATCTATATTGAATTAAAATGAAAAACTTTACTGACATATCTCCTCTTTGAATTTTTGATAGACAAACATAGTTCTAAATGCAGCGTATGTATAAATGAACTTACAATACTGTATTGATAATTCAAATGAACCTGTGCCCAGTAGTTGGATGAATAATAGGCCGATGATGATTTAATTGAAACAAGTTCGGCTATTCATTGCATAAGTGTGACTAACGTTCAGCCGATAGCCGATAGAATATTAATCGACTGCAATCACTAGCTGCTTGCAAGCGGGCAACACGTTCGCACAATGAACTGTCATTTTACTCCATCTTCAAAAAAGATAGACAATACTTTCGAGAAGTCAGTGGGTTCGCAGTCAACGACGAGGTTCCACAACGACTTTTAAATGCAATTCGACAACTTCACAAACATTCATAAAGGACATTACATCTACCTCCTCCCACGCGCATGTTTATAATGTCTCCTCTGACCACCGATTCGTTTGTCCAAAAGTCCATGAGTGAGTATTCTGTGAGATGCAACTCGGAAGACAACCGGACTGGATTGTCCATTTCCCACATTAGACGTAAGATTGATGCATTGTATTTCCCTGTAAAAGATAGAGAAAAAGATACAAATATTTACATGACGTTATACAAAACACTAAATACGATTAATGTTAGGGTTTGGCTTGGGGGGTTCGGGGTGAGTTAGGGGGTGGGTTAGGGGGTGAATTAGGGTGTGGTTTTGGAGCGTTAGGGGTGAGTTAGGGTGTGGTTTAGGGGGTGAGTTATGGCCAGGTGGTGGGTTTGGGAGTGAGTTAGGGCGGTGGGTTAGGGGGTTGGTTAGGGGTGGATTAGGGGGTGGGTCAGCGGGTGGGTTAGGGGGTGGGCTAGGAGTGGTTTAGGGGGTGGGTCAGGGGTTGGATCAGAGGGTGGGTCAGGAGGTGGGTTAGGTTGAGGGCTGGGTTAGGGGGTGGGGTAGGGCGTGACTTAGGGGGTGAGTTAGGGAGTGGGTTAGGGGTGGATTAGGGGTGGGTCAGCGGATGGGTTAGGTGGTGGGTGAGAGGGTTTGAGTGGATGAGTGAGTAGGTGGGTGAGCCAATACACCCATTGGTGGGTCACTCACCCCTGACCGCCTCCCCCGGACCAACCGGCCCCCCAACCGGACCACAACCAGCACCTCTACCGGCCCCCCAACCGGCCCCTCTACCGGCCCCCCAACCGGCCCTCCTAAGCGACCCCCCAACCGACCCCCAACTGACCCCCAACCGACCGCCAAACCGACCCCCCAACCGTCCACCTAACCGACCCCCAACCGAACCCTAATCGACCTCCTAACCCACCCCCTAACACACCCCTAACCCACCCCCTAACCCATATTCGTAATGACATTTTTATTCGGTACTTTCGGTTTTAATTGTTAGTTTCAATTGTTTCTTAGAACAACTACAAAATTAATTGCAATTAAAATCAATTCACTTGAAATCAATTGCAATTGCTTTCAATTGAATTGATTTTTTAATCTGATTGAAGTTCTGATTGAAATTTAACTGAATAACGCCCAACACTATAAGTATATTATATAATCTGTTTAAATTATGCAAATGGCCGTAGAACTTTTTTTTAAGTGTGAAGATAAATGGTGATTCACTGGTTTTCTGACAATATTATAATACCATACAAAGGAATTATGTAAATTTTATTAATTTATGTAAGTACCAAAATAAAAATTAAAGTCCTATTAACAGTCTTGTTTGAGGAAAAATCATTATTTGTTTAATCAAATAGACGACCTCTGTGGCCAAACGGTTTATTTTATAGTAAGCGATGGATGTTTGGAAGGAAGGATGTGGGCGAAGGGTACCAGAGCAACGGAACTCATTTCGGGGCACTTCTTGGACTCCCAAACTAGGACCAATTTAGGAAACTTAATTTTCTAAATTGTCCTACTGGGAATCAAACCCGGGATTCCTCTTACAGTGCCCACAGTGCAAACCGTCAGGGTGGGTTCCCATTATGTCGTGACGACAGATAGTCGTGCAGTTTAAAGTGTCGTGTGGCTTGTATATTGAAATGTAGTTGTTCACATATAATAAGCCCCATTAACTGTCGTTCACGATTTTTGTGACGTTACGACTGACTGTCGTGATAATGGGAAGAGCTAGAACGACAGTCATTCTACAACAAATAAAACGTCACGATAATAATGTGATGGCAAATAATCGCAGCTTCAAATGATTCTGTCGTGGAAATGAAAAGGCGGCTGCCGTGAACCGATAAATTGTCGTCACGATCTAGTGGAAACAGTTAGACACGACAGTCGTTCAACGATAAAATAAACGGCCACGACATAACGAGACCCTTAGGTCACCGACATCGTAACGTTACAAACATATACATTAAATAATAGTAGATATTTGCTTTTAAGAACCGTAACAAGTAGTTTTTGATCATACCAAGTGACGAGACGAATAAGTCATTCGCGTGGTAGTAAGTGACGCCTGTCCAAGCAGTTCCAGTGCCACTAGGAGCTTCAAATCACAAAGATCTAAGGCGCAATGCCCCTGCACCTTTTTTTTTTTTTTTTTTGGCACCTTGAGACATATGTTGACAAGTCCCTTGTCCTTGTAATTCCACCAGCGCCCCTTACTCTTCAAAATCGGAACGCAGTAACGATCACATTACTTATTGGCTGCAGAAATAGGAGGCAGTACTTCCCTTGACGCGAAATTTTTCACAAGGAGGTCTACTACTACTTATAAATGGAAGGTTGTGATCTCTGCAGCCCCGGTAGGAAACGGGCGTAAAGCGTATGTGTATGCATTTACTTATATATTTTTAATGGACTTCAAAGAAAGAAGGGGATTCTCAATTAGACTATTTGTTTTTTTTGGCATTTGTGAACCGATTTTGATGATTCTTTTTATGTTGGAAAGAGGTGCCTCAGTAGTGGTCCCATTTAAATTTGAAGAAAATATTCCACCTCTAAAGGTGGCAAACTAGGGGATGAATCCGGTTTCGCGCACTTTCCGGTAAACGAATTCAATAAAACTTGGCAAATAGATGAAATTCCGCGAACTTTCGAGGTCGGTTTGTTTAGTACTCTGTACTGAGATTATGTGGGAAAACAATACAGGGAATACTAACACTATGTAATAAGTAAATAAGTCGAAAAAACACCATTAGATATTTCAATAGTAAATACTTACAACTTTCAAGATTCATAGAGCACGTCTGATCATCAAAAGGGAACTTCTGCAAATTCATCCAGCAGTACAGAACGGCTTGCAGACGTCTGCTAAAGACCACCTCGCCGTCCGGGGCAATAGATATGAGGACATCCTTGCTGTCTGTCCCCATCAAGCTTGACGATTGTTCATTTGACATGTATAGGTGAGGAACCCATATGCGCTGCCGCAAGTCATTTTCGCCGATGATTTTTGTTCGTTTTGGGGAGTGCAGACTGTATGCTAACCGGTCGTCTGTCCACCGGAGTTGGAGAAGGAAATGTAGTTTGAAATTCTGAAAGAATTTTTAAAAAATACATTCATATTCATAATAGCCCGATTTGATTCTACGCAGGACCCCGATCCAGAACTCTTCGATATTTTAACTGAATCGTTCTATTGGATATCGTTCTCGAATCGAAGGGCGCTTTCTGGGCTATTCAGAACATTCCGAGTTAAACGAACGATATTGTTATTCAACAGCGTTTACGGAGTTAATATGTGAAATAGATTATAATAATCATTGACTTACAAATAAATGGACGACGGGTCTAATACAAAAACCACGAAAAAAATGTCCCAAGTCAACCTATTCGAAATTTAAATTGTTATGTCATCGCAGTATCGCGCTGTCCGTAGAACAAATGAAAACTAAAGCGGAGTGTCGCGCTCTGTATACGATTTTAGCGCCTTACAAGTGCGGACACTTTTTAACGCGGACCCGACGTCCATATAATTGTAAGTCAATGATAATAATGATGAAAATCCTTATATTTTTTTTTTAAGTTTTAAAAAGACCTTAAATATTGGAATGCATTAGTCTAGCATTAAAAAAATTAATAAAAATGAACAAAAAGACTTTATTTAAAATAATAAGAGATTTCCCTATTAGATTTTTGCTTTGTAAACAACAGGACGTTCGGTAACTTTCATCCGATAACTGTATTCTGAATAACGTTTGTAGCCTTTGCCGGTTCGAGAAGTTCGAGTAAAGAAAAATGGGTAAGAAGGCAGTACTTCCCTAGGCGAACTCTTTTACAAAGAGCTCTTCTGCTACTAGATTTACTATAGACTTATTGCTGTTAGAATTTATGACGTCAAATAAACATATTTATTTATTATTTTGGATATCTATTTTAGTTCCTCGCCTCTCCCATGGCTTAAAATAATTGTGATTATTATATCATACATTCCTTCATTTTGCTATATAGGGCGCAATACGTATTGAAATAGAATAAACACTTAAGAGCTCTTCAAAATGTGCTCAGTGGCGCTAAAAACAAAAAAATAAAAATTATTTACTGTACATTTTTGCAAATATGTAAGTTGTATCACAATTTCACCAGAGGTGTGACAATTATATATATTTTTTATTTTTATTTTTTCTGGCACTGCTACAAGATACTAAAGCGCCATTTTGGCCTTTTGGAGCTTAGTAATTTGGTTTTCCAGTGACAAAACTATACACTACAAGTAAAACTAGGAGATTAAACATGGATTATACAAAAAACAACTGCGCACAACATGCAAATAACATTTTGCAACTTAATGAATACCCATGGCTAATTAAGTCAATAGACAATGTGTGTACTTTTAATAAAATTACTTCACTCTGTGATGTGTTCACGTGCTTACACACAGTCCGAACTTTTTATAATTTTCACAAATGTGTTGGGGCTCTGGTGGAATATATCATGATCTTTATAAAAAACAATATACTGCCTGCATAAACGTAAGAAAGGGCTGTTATGTGACACATTATTTCTAGCAGCACCAAAAACAAATGTTGCCTACGGTTAGACCAATCAGTGACCTTCAGCGAAACATGACTCGTGATATCAGCACTAATGTGGAATTTATTATTTTATGCGACATCAGGAGGTCAGTTGTATATTGAAGTTATTACACCTCAAGTTCATCGTCATAGTAAAGAAAGTGTTACTTACCAAGTCATGTGCTTCGGCAGGTTGTATGAAGTAAACATAAGCGCTTGCGTGAACGTAAACAACGTTGTTGGTCTTGTAGGTTGGCAGCAGCAGCTTGTCGTAACGACATTCGTTTGCAAGCCGCGACAGGAACTCCGACTGCGTGTATGTGTCTCCGTTTGTTAGCGACGGACATTGCGGCGCTGTGTCAGATCTGTTAAAGAACAATTTTTATTAGCTTCTACCAAAATCACGTTTCACGTAGATACCAAGTTACGGGACGAGCAAGCCTGGTGGTAAGCGGCACGACTGTCCATAACAGTTGCAGTGCCTCTCAGAGCTTTAAATCGCAAAGATCTGAGGGGCACAGCCACTACACACGCCACGCTGTCATCAGTTGACAAGTCCCACGTGTAATTTCACCAGCACCCTTACTTTTTAAAACCTAAACTCAGAAATGCTCACGTTACTGCTTGGTGGCAGAAATAGGTAAAGTACTATTTTCCTGGACGAAATCTTTCACAAGGAACTCTACTGCTACTAAAGTGGAAGGAAAGAGACCTAGAGGTATCCCTGTCAATGGTCAGATCAGATTTCCGAACAACTGGAGCTATCCTTAAATGTCTCTGTGGCCGAACGGTTACCATGCCGGACTGCCACGCAGAGGTCCCAGGTTCGATTTCCGGGCCGAAAGAAATATTTGAATGGCCTACATTTATTTCTCTCGTGAGTTTGGGTGTAATTTGTGGGCGTTTATGTGTGTGTCCATGGCACCCGCGACACAGGGTTTCCCTAGTGCGGGGCTATGTTGAGTGTGTGCGTTATTATTATTATTATTATTATCTGTGAACGTCGCACTCCACCGCGACTGATGGCGGCGAGGCGACTGACCGCAACCGACAGAGACAGACGATTGGCAGGAGGAAGTGGAGTCACGATCGTCAACAGTGAGTATACGATTAAAAAGAAAACCAAAATACATGTACATTTCTAGGACACTTTTTTTATGTATTTTTACACAAGTTATAGATATGAGCACCGCGGCGGCGCGCCGCCGCCGCCGCGTTTTTCCTCCCGCCGCCGCCGCCGACAAATGCAATCGGCGCGCCGTTCATCAGGCGCTCCGATCGTACGCACGCGCATGCTTCCGTATTGTGAAAATGGCGACGCCAGAAAATTACTTTTCTAAGATAAAACTTTTTTTTAATAAAATGTAAGTTCGCATTTGACCTCTAGCTCACCTGGTGGAAAGTGACGATGAGGTCGACGATGGATGAATGCCTAATCATTTTCGCCATGAAAAGGTCCAAGTTATAACGTTCAGGGAACAAGTCTGCAGGCAGGGAATTCCACTTCATAGCCGTTCGCCATATAAATGTGGAAGCGTAACGCTTCGTGCGAATCGTTGGAATATCCACAACATAGAGGTGGAACCCAAGTCTACGCCTAGTCCCCGGTGACGGAAAGGGGAAAGCGGATTTAAATCGTGTAATTCCATCGCACACTCTTCGTGATATATCCTGTAAAATACCGATAAGCTGGCAAATTTTTGGCGGTGTTCAAGGCTCCGCAATTTCGCCACCACTAATTCCGAGTCACCTATAAGTTTCTTGTCACGTTTGTCAATTGAATTCAAGGTGGCCAGTTGGTATGTAGTACAGCCATCCTAAAGGCGTCAGCAGTTACTCCATGCACGACCGGATACTTTACACCGGGACAGCTGAAGCAACTGTCCCGGTGTGAAGTAACACCACACTCTGGAAAGGATCCCAAGCTTCCTCGCTGCATGTTTGCCCATGGATTCAACGTATCTGCCGAAGTACAAATTGGACGACAGGTCTATTCCAAGTAGCTGGAGACAGTCGGCTATCAGTATGAATATATCACGAAAAGTTGGAGTCAGCTCAAAGGGACTCCGTTTTGTGACCAAAGGCATGTCTATGCCTTTGGTATCGTTAAATTTGACAAGATTGGCATCGCCCCAATCGGAGACTGCCTTGAGTGTCAAATCCAAACGGCTAACCATAGACTCTCGACAAGACTGGATTTGGGTTCGTGGAGAGGACCACTAACCCTGGCATTGGTCAAATACCTATCTACAACTGTGTTGTCATCATGTAGTATAAGGGTTATAACGGCATTGTGAATTTGTGAACCATCTTTCTAATTTGTGTTGTGAACGTGTTATGAACGGCATTTATACACATATAAAGTATTCGTCTTGTATGGGAATATTAATAATAATTGTACGTACTACGTACTTAGTATAGTTGTATTGATTGGTTTGACAGTTTTTTTCTAATAAACAAAACTTCTTTTTAAAGATATGTATTGTGGGAGGAAAAAATTTTGAAGGAAGTTATTGGTTTCCGTATATTGCGACAGTATATTAATAAAGTATTTTGTATTTTGTAATTTGTATTTGTATTTGTAATTTGTATTTGTATTTGTATTTTGTATTTTAAATACACCCCATGAAAGTATTTTGTATTTTGTATTTCAAATACACCTCAAGAAAGTATTTGGTATTTCGTATTTTAAATACATATAAGGAAGTATTTTATAATTAGTATTTCAATTAAGACGTAGCATGTATTTTGCCCAGCCCTGCCTCCAGGTCTAGTGCGTAGGGGTGCACGAAAGGAGCCTCCCAGTACGACGTACCATTCCTTTCCTGCACGTCTGTCATATCTTAAAGAGTTTCGATTGTTACCCCTAGAAACCGAGGGTTATTGTTCACGCACAAAATTGCTCGTGAAATTTCAAGTGGAGAACTGTTTTTCAACCGACTTTAAAAAAAGGGGAGGTTCTTAATTTCGGCTGTATGTTTTTACTTTTTTTTGCAAATAGATGTACCTAACTCCACAAAATTTTGAGGTCGGTTTGTTTGCACCCTGTACTGAGATTTTTTTTTTAAATCTCTTTTCTTTATTCTAAAAGGCGACTAAAGGCAAGACTGATGAAGAAGAACTTATACATTACACTGTGGATTTAATGTCTTAGTAGAGCTAAGACTGGATTATTTGACAAAGACATTCTAAGTAGGTTAGCAAAGGTAGCCTCTTTTTAATAGATAATAATGTAAACAAGAAAACAATAAAAGAAGAGATAATAACTCAGCTCACATTGTTCCTACTAATCTCGTGTTTCATTATACTTTAGCACGTATGCAGAGTTACACGACTTGTACGCGTTTTACATAAAATGTGGTCTGAGTAGAATTGCAACCAATACTTGGTTACTATTCGGTATTCGGCTTATTCGGCGAGGGCTCCAAGTCTCCTAATTTTAAATCATCTCATTTGCGTGTCTATAGGCTGTCCATGGCAGGATTTTGTACGTTTGGTATTCTGATAAAAGTTAAGAGTTGTAAGTTGTCCCTAATGTACCGACCCGAGGGATAGGGTTTTTCGAAGAGACTATGGGCTCGACGGCATGACCAGGGTACGGCGGGCGTCCGGGCCAAGCCCTTCGCCAGTCATACACCTTCACTCGGCATCTCTGGCGGACCTGGACTTGGTTAAGGCCGGGGTTTGTGCTTAGCTGTATGGACGGACACGTTCGTCTGCCCCGGTCGTGTGAGGCCGGGGCGGGGCGTTCGTGCCGCGAGCAGCTAACGCATCTTAGTAACGGTCTAATTGAGGACCTGAGGCAAGGAGACGCGCGGGGCACCTTAATTGCCCTTTAAGTCGGTAGCTATGTCCGGACATTGTCGCCGGACACTGCTACTTGGCACCTCCGGCGCTAGCCCGGATAGCTAGTAGAGGATAAGCTAGACATCTTCCGGTCCCTCCGGCCGAGTAGGAATTTGGGAGCTGGAGAGATGCTGTCTGGCATCGGGAAGTGAGCATGCCTTACTACTCCGCCACCAATGACGAGATTTGGTAGTCGACTTAGAGTCGGCGGCTCAGCGGTGGCAACCGTAGGTCGTGCGGAGCGCGACGGCAAGTGAGCGTGCCTACTACTACTCCGGTACCTATCTGGAAAATAGGGAGGGTGCTGTACGTGCGCCCGGGGCGGCTAACCAACGGCACTAGCCTCACAGAGAACCGGATGAAGTCCATGAAAACGTGCTGATCCGGGGTTAGATTCTGACTTAGATGGTCCCTGTGCAGGTTCACTCGCACAGATCATAGTGCCCTTGTCATATACCCTAAGGGTCAGTAGGGAGGGTCACTATAATCGAAAGTAATGTAGAAAGTTATGGGGCTGCTAAAAGTTAAAAGTAGCTGCTTGTCGGTGGCCAGTCATCGAGCTACTGTTCAACTGCCATTGCAATGTTTTAGTAATCTGCCCTTCAATGGCGAGTCGAAGGCACGTCGATGGTGTAGTCTACTAATATTATATATTTTTAATATAAAGTCTAATTTGCTGTAGGAAATGAAACTATTTTTCCGGATTTAAATCGCGTATATTTGTTTTTTCAAACAAACCGACGTTTCGGGCCCTTTACAGGTCCCATGGTCACGGTTGACTGGTCTGAGTTGCTGATTAAACGAGACAAAAATAAATATGCATTGTAATTTCCAAGGTAGGTTCAATAAGACAACATCAAGAAAGAATCCCATCAGTGCCATTCCACTGACACTCACTCAACTGCCATTGCAACTAGATTTTAGCTGAATAACAAATATTATGATAAATGCAATATAATCTCAGTGGACGCGTAACGGCATTACAATGACCAGTGATTTCAAGAAAATTAGCAGATCGAACCACTATTCGGCCGAATACCGAATACCTAAAAACAGGAAAAAACAATGACATAAAAGCATCATATATTTTTTTTTGTTCCTTGTGAAACAGTTTGTCCAGGGAAGTACTGCCACCTTATCTATTTCTGCTGCCAGTGTTGTGAGCATTACTGCGTTCCAGTTTTGTAGGGCCAGGGTGCTGGTGAAATTACAGGCACAAGGGTCTTGTCAATTAATGTCTCCGGGTCTGCCCTTCACATCTTTGCGAGTTGAAGTTCTGAGCGGTACGGCGACTATTATGTACAGGTGCGTCGTTTACAATCACGCGCACGACTTGTTCATCCCGTCACTTTGTATACAAAAAAAGATATAAATTTTATTAATGTTGACATGCATCGTAAGTTCGCCAAAGCACAATTTTTCGCTTCGTTATCTAAACGATCAAGGAAATGTGACATAATTGAGTCATTTTTCTAAGAGATCATAAAGTTAACATGTCAAATGTAAAGTACCTATTTAT